ATCTGACAAGCAGAAGGAGAGAAGTGTATTGTGGAAGCAAGAGAGAGAGAAAGAATTTCAAAAAGAAGTCTAGGCCTCTGCGTCAAATACTCCAAAAATAGAGAGAAAAATCTTGAAACCAGAGCCTGTGTCTTCTCTCTGCTCTACCTGTAATGCAAAACTCAATGCCTGCCCCACAGTAGGTTCTCGATAAATCTTTACTGAACTAACAAAGAAATATGGCCTGAGCAAAAAGGAGATGCTTCATTAAGAATAGAGTTGGTAGAGCGGGGTGGTAGCTGTTGGCTGTTAGGTTGTCGTGACCGTGGAAGTGAGAGAGGGAGACAGCCCAGTCTGCTGATGCCCAGGCTGGACCAGCCGTCAGAACCACCTAGAGAACTGAAAAAAGAGAGCATTAGATTCCGTCCTAGACTCACGAGCACGAGTCTCTAGGATGTAAAAAGAGAGATTCTGCATTTTATCAGGTTTTCAAGTAGTTCTGAATATAAACCAGGTTTAGAAACCGCCTTTTGAGAAGACTGAGTGGGGCAGCGAGCGTCCTTCCATCTCCCTGCGGCGCAGGGGCCGGTGCAGCACCCTGGAGAGCGTCAGGAACCCAGCGAGCCCGCGGCCTGGCCTCTACAATACGCCGTATCATGAGTTAAGAGTATGGATATCACAGAGCAGCGAAACTTACTCTGAACGAATTTACTAAATTTGTCACTTAAAAATATCAATGCATCACCATATAATAGAATGGCTAAAGCTATGAATAACCTTATTGAAAATAATGTAGTGTGTGGATGTCACTTTGGAAAGGATGAGAAATACCTTTCTCATTACAGAGGGGTCAATATTCTAGTTGTTCTTGACCGGAAAAAAATCACTTTATTCCTAACTCATTACAATGTACGACTTAAATTACACAAATGTTTCATAAGGAGGGGAATGATCACAACTTATGTTGATGAAGACAACAGGTTGGAACTAGCCGGTCTATGAATAAAGAGGTTGAGGAGAGGCTATAGGTCTCAAGAGATTATCATCATTAATTGTATAAAAGTCTCATTTTCCTCTCCACTTCAATGCCTATTTTCTGATAATTAACTGCATATGTGAATAAATACTCATTTGAATTAGTGAGTCATTTTTCATCTTGACACATAGATGATATAGTAGTAGTTACACAGCAATCCAGTTTAAAAATGCTTTCACATTATTTCACCTGAGAAAATAATCCTGTGCTGCAAAACTGATTAGTGTGCCCATTTTACAGAAAGCTTACCTAGACTAAGGAATTACATGATGTTTGAATGATTACAGAGCCAATAGCGTACAACTCCAAATACACTCACATGTTATAACTACAGATTCTGTGGTTTAAACTGTAGCACATTGCAGAGAATGCAACTGAAGCATTAATTCTTTACCTACTCTATCCAGTTTTAGACAGTTGATCTCCTGTCTTTTTAAAGCCAATGGTATTTTTTCACTGCAGAGACTTAACTTATATCTGTAATTATGCTTTCTTAATTTAATGATCATGTTGACAGTAGAGAAGCTAAGTCTCAACAGTATCAGCAAATAATGTTTCATGTTCTTTTAAGTCATCTCTAAAAGCTGCATTTTCATAGAATCTGTGTAACTGTCTATAATCATTTCTAGATTGTGCTTTCCTAATCTAAACTGGTTCCTAATGAGATGTTAAATGTTTGATTCTCTCTTAAGATGTAGTTCCTTTTCAAAAATTAAAAATTTGAATTAAACCACAATTAATAAAATGTAGTTTTTCAAAATCCCCCCACAATTTTCATAAATGATAAATGTAAAAAAGAAGGTCTGTATTGGAAGTTAAAAAATATTCTTAATGAAAATCTGTATATGAAAAAATTAAAACTCAAAGGAATGAAGGGAAGTGCTAGGGAGAAATGAAGGTTTTGTGTTTATTTCTGCTCCCCATGAAGACCTAGGAGTGACTGGAAATACAAGATGCTGCCAAGAACCTCAATATATCAGTAGTGTTTACAAGGAGTAGGGTATGGACCTAATAACACTTAATATTTTATATCGATAATTAAAACAATAAGTTAAGATAGCTCATTAAGTTTGAAGCAAGCAAAATTAAGCTTGATCACCACTTTGGAGCCTGAAAATGAAAATAGTTTTGGTCATATGGAAACAAATGAGTATAAGGAAACAGAACAACCACCGGTAACAAATAAAAGGATGTTTAATGAAGACACGTGTCCTTTTATACAGAAAACAAGCAAATGAACTTTGGAAATACCAGGTTGCCAGTGTATTTGGGATGTGAGTGAGGTTCTCCGAAAAGCTGAAAGCAATCTACCAGTTACGTGCCACGTTATCTAAAACCTACACAAGACCTTGGAAATCAGTGAATCTTCCTGGGCAATCTGCAGTTGAAAGGGCCAAGGTAAGTTATTTTGGGTTTTGAAACACACCAGTAGGAGCTGTACTTCAGGTGACAACTAACAAGGAAAATGTTGAACTTGACTGTCTGACCTCATGGCTCAGCCGGAACAGATGTCAAATACATCACTGCAGGCAAAAGAGGAGAGGGACATCTAAGAGGGTCCTTTTTTGCCACTGAGAAGTGTGCGAGTAGAACCGGCATAAATGACTAAATGGGAGAATTGTCTGCGCTGTGGTGACATGGGATAGTGCCACAGGCAGCAGACGGGGCCCTGGACTGAGCACCTAGTTGCCTCATCAATTATCTGGGTTCCCTGCTCTCTTTGGGTCACTGTTTGCTCAATACTCAGAGAAGAGGTAATAGGATCCCATCTTAGGACCCTCAGCTCTACGGTTGAAGACATTATTTTTTTATTTTGCAAATAAAGAAAATACTGATTTGTGGGCATGTCTTTTGTGCTGTTTTATCATTTTCTCCAACTTGAACATTTGGGCATAGCAGATGCAGAACTAGCGCTCAGATGCCGTAAGCCCCAGCCTGGTGCATTCTCTATTTATATGGTGCGTCCCAAAGGTTTCTGATCAAGGTGGAAACCTTCAAAATCTATAAAGTAATATATAAATTATGGCAATAGTGTGAATATTGTGAGGATTATAAAGCACTAATTTAATGTGTGAATTAGAAGGGAACAAGAAATAAGCTGGAAGTATTGGAGACTGATGAATCAAATATATCTGATTATTGGAGTCAGATATAAAAACCTTTATTTAACAAAAAACTATATAAATTCAAATTAACTAATAAATTAAGTGCAGATTACAATTCATCCTGTTTCTGTGGTTATGTAAAGACAGCAAGTAAGCACTTGTTATGCAAAACAAATTGTCCTTCTGAATTGGCAGCTAGAAAGCTCTCAGACAAAAGTACTGTAGGGCTCACACTGTGTGCAAGTATGGGTCACTTTCTATTTTTACCTTTTATTTCCCTATACCTGGTTTTCCTCTTTTTCATTCCCCACATATGTTATTTGTATCTGTATCTTTTAGATGCCTTAAATTCTTTTGGGAGGAGTTGAAAATAAATGTCATGACTCTGGAAACATGGGTTACCTGTAGGGTGAGTGTGACCCACTCTCTTGGATCTGTATGGCCAGCCCGAACCCCTCTAGAGTTTAGAAGCTCACTCAGAGAGCGCATCTCAGCTACTGCCCGGGCTATGGACCAAAGAAGAAAGGAAAAGTCAGTACCTGAGTTTCTGTCCAGAGCTTTGGTGAGAAGCCAGCAAACAGAGAATGGCACTGCCTTTCACCACTGCACAAGGACTGAGAAAAACCTGCCCAAGGACTAGACTGTGTGAGACCCAGGTGCCCATATTTGATGTGTTTCAATAGTTTTAACAGATAATTATAGTAAATAAAATCTCTGTTTGCGTTGCTCGAACATGCAAGTAATGTTAATGATTCAAGGTTCATATCTAAGAGCACTAGCTCAGGTATGGAATTAAATATGTTCATCCTAACTAGCAAACAAAAGCCTGAAATTATTAATACACTAGCTCTTTAGTCTGATTAGATGCAATATTATGTTTGCATTCAACCCAACATTGGCTCTATAGCATCAGAAAAACAACATACATGATACATTAAATTAATAGTAATTTCACTTTTACTGTTTTATAGAATTTATAAATGCACTTTAGTTAACACTTATATAAAAAAAAAAAACAGAATAAGGCATTGATATCCAGTTTTGCATCTGTAAATACACAAAATGATAAAGTTTATAGCTTAGCACTAGGAATCTGTGGGAATTTTTGCTGTGAAGAAAAAAAGAGAACTCATTCTTAAAAGTTACCTGCATTTTTATTATGGGATTTTAGAGGCCAAAAGGTCTTCAAGGGTCCAAGAAATAATATCCTAAGTCTGGAATGCAGCTACTGTAATAGAGAAGAAGACGTCTATAATGCCAACCGTAAGCAAAGTGTGGCTTATGGGGCTCCACCTGCCCAGCATCACGGCACAAGTCCCAACAGTGGGGGGTGGATGTGTGTGCGTGTGTGTGTGTGTGTGTGCGCGTGCACACAAAACTGGTAGAAATGATACAACACACGCTATGCAAAAACTTTTAATCCGCTATTTAATGCGATCAAGCAAAAGATTACATTTTCTTAATATAGTAACAAAAGAATTCATCAACATAAAAGTCAAAAGTGAACCGATAGGGCCACTACCACCATTTCGGTTTATGTGCTGTCTCCCCTCCCATTCTGGTTAGGAAATGCCTCTGAGGCACATCCCCAGTGAGCACAGGTGATCTTTCCTGAGGTGGATCGACTGAAATGCCTCAGAAGAATTTGGAAAGTCAAAGGTTAATAATCACAACCGCCACCCAGTGTTAGCCGTACCACCCATATCAAACAAGGTGACTTGGGCCTCGAGGTAGCTTCATAAATATCGTATTTTTTATTTCAGCCTCTGCTACTTGGTGATGCTCTCATCAATGATATGTAACTAACATTCCACTTCACACTGGGACACGCTTTCCAAAATCTAATTATTCTTTTCTACATTACTGTGATCTCTTTCTAAACTCTCTACCTCTATTTAGCTCATCTCATGAAGAAAGAATATTCAGTTTGGTTTAACAAGCAATTGAATTTATTTGTTTTAAAACTCTAACAACAGCTTATCTTTAGTGTTCCTATTGCTACAACTACTACTTAATTTTGAATTCAAGGTGTGTGTTTTTATTTGGCAGTTACATTTATGACATTTTTTCATTCTATTGAATCTAATGAATAAGCCTTTGCAATTATTTTTTTCTTACTCTTGGTGCCCTTTTAAATGTAATTTTTTAGTCTGCCATTAAATAGGAAAAAAATCAGTAATTTCTTACACCTGGGAAAGTAGTAATGTGGCTCATGGTGAAGACTGCAGGCCTGGAGCTGGGTTCAAATGCTGGCTCCACTGTGAGATCAGAAAATGTTGCTTAGTCTCCAGCCCTCCTTTCCTTTAAAGGGGTAATGATGATAGTGCCTGCTTCGTAGCAGTGTGAGAACAATGAACTCCCAAAAATCTTAGCACAGGGCTGTGTGCAGTTAGTCTTATTCTTGCTTCCACATCCACTAGAAATTAAAACACTTGGTGAGATGAAGTATGAGGAGATCAAGTGCAAGTGAACCCTTAGATTACTGGGCCCTGGATGAAGGACAGCAGTGTGCACGACATACAACAAACCGTTTCCGAGCCACTTACGTGACTATTAGAGCGTATTGTGTGATTTCATCACCCGTGATTTCAGCTGCTCAATTTATATTTCCAGATACACACTGATAGGCAAGAGCAGCCTCTGGACCAAGCAGAAGAGGCAGCCCACCTTTCTTTATCATTTTTGTGAAAGCCTCCATGCTTTATTTTACAAAGTACCTGATGCACATAACCAACCAAAAGTCAGTAAATACGTGAGGAATGGCACTTTCCCTGACCTTTGTCAGGGCCGATTTACCTGGGTGTCTTCGTGACAAGAGAGAAAAGTGGTGTGAAATAAATTCAAGGCCTGGCTCATGTTACTAATATTACCTTTAGAAATGAAAGCATAATGATAGTGATTTTAACTATTATAGTGATAACTATAATTATGTCAAAAATATTCGGTTTGAAAAGACAACAGCTCTCAAATTTCCACTGAATATTTTCTCCCTTTAATGAAGACTAACTCTTAATCCCAACGTGATGTAAGGGTATTATTGCAAATACCAGGACATTAGGTGGATTTTGTTTTCATTAATAGCCTAATATGTAAATTAAAGAGGGGGAGAGCGGACACCACTTCAATCACAAATAGTTTATCTAAATAGCCTGAGTCAACACCTCATCCCCAGGGGAATTAGACTACAGCTCCAGGCAAGGATGCCCATTGAACATCACTCTAAATTTGGACATGCCCAATTTTGCCCCCACTCCCATCCAGTCATCCCTGCTGTTTAAATGCCCAAAGGCACGTTTATAGAGAGCCTGAAGCACTGGCACTGGGCCCAGGGTCAGCAGGCCTGGATTCTCCTCCCAGCTCTGCCAGGGAACTTACATTCCTCGAGCCTCAATATCCTTACCTGGAAAATGGTACAGTTGGACTAACTGATCTGCAAGGTAGAGGAATGGGCACTTCCCACCCCTTAGCATATGCGAAAAGCAGATTTGATATCCAAGGTGTATTTTTACAACACTGTTTCAAGATACAAATATCTGGTACCTACCTGTTTGTCAAAAAACAAACACTATATCACTTGACTTGAGGCATTAAAACAAAAACAAATGTGTCAAGTCATCTGTCAGAACAGTTACTATTCTGGCTGGTTTTGCTTCAAATAAATAACAGAATTTAGTTGTTAAGCGTAAATGATGTTTCTCCTTACTTGGAAAAAAGTCAGAAATCAAACATTTCCCTAAATATTGAAACAGACGTTCTTACCTATCAGGTTGTAAAGCTTCTAAATAAGCAAACTGTACACCTAAGGTTTTAAGCACACAGAGAAAGCTTATGCAAGACAGTTACACTGTAGCCCACGTCTCCTATAGCTTTTCTAGGAAGTGGAATAAAGATCCCAAAGTGGGTGGCAGAGAAGACGAAGACTAGGCTGTGCGATTTTAAAGCTACTTTCAAACTAAGGCAGTTTTCATTATTTTCAAAGTGATGATTCTCGTCTGTTTTTCCAAGCTTCACGTGTCAGTAGGCTTCACCTTCCCCTCTCGTCCCCAGATGCCTCGCCCCCTCTCCTCGCAGCCTTCCC